TTAATTAAGATTAAAAAATATTTTAAAGTTAGTACCAATATTTTATTATTTTACAAATAAAAATTTATAATTTTTAGATTGATAAATAAAAATATGTAGAAAAAACCTTTATTAGGTATAAACAATGTTTGTGATTAACATCTTAAGGTTGAAGAAAAAATTATAAATAATATAGAATTCTTTAATTTTTTATGTGATTTTAAGATGTTAGGCCCTTCTATTTAGTCTATTTGATTTATTTAAAATAAAGACATCACAAACATGTTGTTAGGTCTAAATTTCTCAATAAGTATATATGACAAAAAATTGACTATTTCTTGTAATTATATGAATTCTCAATTATTTTCTAAAAACAGTATTAAAAAAACTTCATCTTATGTTTAATGAGAAACACTTAAAAAAAAGTCCATGAATTGATCTAAGATTTATAAGAAAATCAAAGATTACAAAGATAATTTAATATATTAAAACAAACTATAAGATAATTTTTATAATTGAATTAATTTTTAATTAATTTAGCAAAGTACAATGAGAAGAAATTTATTCTTAATTTATAATAATTTTTCATTTGATAAAATGTTCTTTAAATATTATTAAAATAAAATAAATGATTATTATAAAAGTATTTATATTATTTAATTGAAATACATCTTATAATTTTTGAAGTCAAAAAGAGAACCAACTACAATAATTTTTTTAATATTTCTATAAAATTTGCAGAAAAATATCTATGTGATTATTGGTGAAATTATGACATCGAAAAGAAAAGAGATATGTTTTGGATAAAATTTATACCATTGATTCGTCCATCAAGAGTTATTTTTCTTAAATAAAATTAAGATACTTTTTCGCATGCCTAATTCAATTATAGGTTTTTTTTTAATATTACAAACTCTTTCAGCATATATTAATATCTTTAGAATCGGAATAATACTCTTACATTTTTACAAACAATTTCAATGTAAAATGTCTTTATTCTATTAATATAATTAAAACTATGAATTAAAAAAAAGAGTAAAGGAATTAACACTTGAAGCTTGTGTAATTGATAATAAAATATCATATTTAGTTTCAGAAAAACATCAAAGCATGCAAGTTACATGCATTAAAATGTTTTACAAATTTTTATTTAAAGATTCACAAAGCAATTGAATATAGGTATATATACACACATACAATGTCTTTTTAAGTTTAAAATTGAATGAATTAATATGATTTGTATCACTAAAATATCTAACTTTAATTATAATTTTTAAAAATAATTATCATAATTAAATCTATATAAAAAGAAAGATGTAGTTATAAAAATGAAAATAAAAATTATTAATAGTATGTAATATTAAAACATTGCAAAAACGTTTATGATTATAAAGGATGTTAATTTCTGAAATATTTATTTATTAAAAAATTAATAGCTTTATAAGATAATGTGATACCTAAAAATATAAAGTTGAGGAAAATTACTTGTAAATTATAAGAATTAAATATTTTAAGACTATTCCTCTTGAAGAATATCTTGCAACAATTCAAATAATTTAATACTCTAAGAACTACTTTAAATAAATTTTCTATCAATTAGATATTATGTTAATATATTTTGGGTGGTGAAAAAAGTTAAAAGCAAATCTACATTTTAATCTTCAAATTTTTTAAAAATCTAACCAAATATCATAAGAATGTTTCCTTCTGTTGAAAAAATCAATTATTTTAAATTAAATATTATTGCTTGTATGCTTTCTTACCATATAATTAAAGCTACCCCATTGGAGGTCCCAAAGATTAGAAAATACATTATTCTAATGCCTTCCCTCTCTCCCAACCCATCCCTTTAGGCAAGAGAGATGCTTCTTACAGTTCAATATATGTCCTATTTGGTAGATGCTTAAGATATGTTCTAGAATATCTTAAAGGGTTTCAAGGCTCTATTACTTAACTTTGTAGTCGAAATTGCATTTTATATTATTTGAAATATTAGTGAAACATTTTTTTTTTTTTTTTTTTTTTTTTTTTTTTGTTTGTTCCCGCCTTGTTTTGTTTTGTTTTGTTTTTTTTTTTTATAATTTTGTTTTCCCTTATTTTATTTATTATTTTTATTTATTTATTTTTTGTTTCTGTCTTTTTTTGTTTTATTTTTTATTTATTTATTTTCCTTATTTGATTGTTTATTTGTTTGTTTGTGTGTTTGTTTTTTTTTGTTTTTTTGTTTTTTTCAAATTTTACTTTAGTTTGATTTTTTATACGTATAATTTGTCTCTGTTTGTAAAAAATGATAAGACTTCTTATTACCATACATAATAAAGAGTTGCAAAGGAAGCCATCAAATAAAAGATTTAAATTTATTTTTTTATTTCTCAATAAAAACTTTTGAATTAAAAAAAAAAATTTAGCCAATTAAAAAATATTATTTTAGAAATAAATTAAAATATTTTTATAAAGGATTTTAAAGAAGTAGAAATTTTATTAGATTTTTGTCACTTTAATAAAGATGTAAATGATTTTACTAGTAGAAGATAGAACCAAGTTTTTTAAAATAATAATTATTAGTAATATTATTATTCTAATTTAAAAAAATAATATAAGGATTTTTTAATACGTTGATTAATAATCTCTTCAATCAAAAATTATATTTGTTTTACATTATTAAAAATTAGATATATCTTTAATTACTTTTATATCTACATATATATGGTATATAAATTTATATGCAAATATGCAAGTTTGCAAATTTTTAATCTTAAAATATTTTTGAATCAAAAGGTTATTACTCAATAGTCATAGATTCATCATTTAATTCCATAATTTTCAAAGTCTTCTATGAAATAATTTTATTCTGAAGACTAAAAAATATATTTAGAATATTACTTAGTATTTTTTTATTATCACTATAGCTTTCTATTAAACAGTTTTTTAATATTCTCCTAAACAAAAAGAGAAAAAAAATCTAAATCAAAATAAAGATCAAAATATAAAGCTTAATATTAGACATATAGTTTAATTTTAAAAAATAATTATTTTAATTTTTAAATCTACTAAGTTGACTTGAATGAGAAAACTAAAACATCTTGTTCTAAATTGGATATTACTTGTTTAAAAAGACAAAATTAGTATAAATTTTTATTCAATTTGTTCCAAAATGTAGGCAAAATCAATTAATTTTTTTAAAATCTATAAATATGAACCACAATTTTTCTCACTTTAGCATGCAAGATTCTTTGAGGTACTAAAGTTAGATGTCTTAAAATCTCAATTGACATAGTATAGAAGTGTAGGCTATAACTTTGAAAATGTTGCGCAAGAGACAACACTTCCACTACTACTTGGAGGCATAACATTACCATACTTGAGCTAAGGAAGGTTTTAGTCTACAAGCTTGTGGTTGTTAGTACCTACAAATTGAAGCCTTGCTTTACAAATTGTCAACTTAGATAAATATGATTGATTTGATTCCTCCTTCTTTCAAAGGCTTCTAATTTTAATGATATTTAACTACCACAATCTTATTGTATCTATTGATTTTAAAATCCTTCAACAAAATTTGTCACAGCTATATATAGCTTTGACAAGAATTGGATGGACAAAAGCAAAGTTGTGTATTGGTATAGATCACCACTACATTAAGATATTAGAATTAGATTAATAACATGTATTTAGATTTATATTTTCTTATTAATTAATATTAAATATCTTGTAAAATATATTCTATCAAAGAAGACAACTAACTGAGTTGTGACTTTGTGAAGTAAAATAAACCTCAATTAGTTGGAAGTCTATTCTAATTCACAATTATTAACTAGCTTCCAATTTAATTACTTAAGTTGTCTTCTACTTTATCTTAAATTCATAATGCTCTTAACTAATAAAAACTACCCTCACACATCATAAAAACAATATAAAGCCCTTAAATAACTTAACAAAAACACACCCTTTCAAGACGATTTGTTATATGGATTAATTTATGTTTATATAATTTTTTTTATTTTTTTATTTTTATTTTCTTAAATTTAAAATTTTATTTTTATCTAGTATTAATTATCATCAAAAATTTAAAATTCATCTATGATAAATTTCAATGCATGAATGAGTTTTCATCTATAATAACTTTTCATCCACAAATGAAAATTCGTTTTATTTTCATTACCTACATCCATATTTTATCATCCACTTCAAACCCTAAATCATCCATTCATTTAAATGATCATGATAATTGCATATGATGGTTGGTTCATATGTAACTTAATTTCAAGGTCTAACAAAATGAGAAGGTTGATGACGAGTCGAGACGAGGTTGGGAAGCACCATAGTTTGATTAGCGCTATGTCTCCACTCCAGCAGTGCAAGAGCGATGACTTCACTTGGAATCAAGAGTCATCTGAATAGTCTCTTCATGTGAAGTAGTATACCTGCAAAATTGGATTCCGTCCGCTTCACAGCAACACTCTCTGATTCAAAACCTCCTCAACTGATTGATCTTATGAAACAATTTCTTGTGTTTGATTCCACGTTGATGTTGATGTGAGCTCCAGATCCTACTTTGCTTTTGGTCGCATTTGATCACATGTTAATTGGACGTAAAATGCTGATGCTTCAATCGCAACCTCGATTGTATCGCCTTAGCACACCGACTGCCTTCTTCCTTTACGATCTAGAAAGGCTGATGAGAAAGAGGATACTGGAGACTGTTGCCTGTCTTGGTGATACCGTTGATCGTCACACTTCAATAGATATGCTCTGCAGCGAGAGACTTCATTTTTAAAAATCTCGTTTGTGTGATTGTATCTCGTAAAATACTCCACCTCAAATAGAATGTAGTATAGAGGCGGAAGTGATCAGCTTGCTTTAATTCAAGAAGCAACAACCATTAACAACCCAAGGCTCGCAACCTACAATGGGCTCTCTTCGTCTTTACCACTTCTTGATACTTTCTAAAAACTGCACAAGATTACCTAACTCCCATTTAAAATTATACAACAGCCGTTGGAATCATACACGCACACAAGGGCTGCAGGAAAATCGTGTATCATGAGTAGATTTACGGGATTCGTGAGGCATTCTACACCAATTCTGGTAGCCAGATCCATAAAAAGGAGCTCAGCTACGAGCTCGTCTTTGTGGAATTCCTAAATCTTCAAAATACTAGATGACAAGATGTATTAATGTAGACTTCTTCTCGTAGCCGCTGAACTTCCAAAACCTTTGTCATAAACTCCTTTTTTCTCTATTTCAACACTTTTTAAGGGTAATTCAACATTTCCGCCTATCAAGATCTGTAATGTGCCTATTGTAGTCAATGGCGAGAATTTGTAGCAGCAGTTGTTGGGTTGTAATCACCAAGAAGAAGAACCTAGTGGATTGTCGTCAACCTAGCCACACAATCTAGTTTTCTTGCTTACATCCAATGTTGATACTTGAATTTTTGGAAGCCCACAATCCTTGCACAATTTCCAAGGACCTAGAGAAGTGCTCTGCTTACCACAATTACTTGGTCCTAGTATGGAAGAACCCCGAATGTCTCCTACATTCAAGATTTTAATGGTTATTGTTGAGCAATGACTCTCGATCCTTGCCACGCCTTTAGTAGGTTCTCAACTCATGTGGTTAGAGGAATCCAATCCCTTCAATGCACTGCATTTGCTTACCGCCTAATTGATGGTTTTGATGTTCCAAGGTGATTGCACAAGAATGTAATATATTAGATGGTAATATGGAATCGTAATAAGATCCAACTTCTACATCTAAGATCATCTACGCTCAACATGATGCTCAAGCGCTTATTCGCTTGACACCCTTCTGAATTCCTTCCAAGAATTGATAGAATTCAATTTTTGTACACGAGTTCTACCACTTCGTACTTGTAAAAACAGGATGCTTGTGATTAAAAATTCAAGCAATGTTGCAGTACGCCTTTGTTTCAGCAAAAAAATCAACGCCGTTGCTCCTTAGATTTGCAGCCCAAATTCCAACATTAGAGAGTAATAGAAGATCTAATCCAATGCCAAACAGCACCACAGTAATAAGAGCTTCTCGTTCTAGTGCAACACCAAATCCAGAACCCAAGAAGAGCACTCAAACATGTAGGTACTGTGGCATACTTATCAGTACAAAAGAATACAGGACCATGCCAAGAGTAATTGCGCCGTGAAGAATTTTGCAGCAAGCCTAGATTGGCACTTGAGTTGTCGCTTCCCACTACAAAAGGCAACTCATTTGAACATCGCTTCACAATAACAAGGCAGGGAGGGAGCGACAAGATCCTAAGTGATCGCTCCAGTCGTAATATTGCACTAAGAAAATAATTACTAAATGAACAACAATAGTGAGATTTGGTATTGACCACAACATCCGCACATCCTACCAAAAACGGAACACTCAAGACCCGCCCTAAGTACAGTGTGATTAACAAAACAAAAGGAGAAGAGGGTCAAGAAATGCTGCACTGCAGCACTTTCACAACACTAAGAGAAATCAGAAAAAATGTTCTGAATCGCCCGGAGCTCGTGAAGGCGTGAAAAAAGCAAAAAAGCAAACCAAAAAGAGAGAGCGGATCTGGGGCGGCTCGGACCTCTATCGGCAGAGAGGTTGCCGGAATTTGGGGGCAGCCTCTTGCCCCCATCCATCTATTACTTTATCTCAATTCTTTTTCTTTTTCTTTTTCTCTTCTCTTCTCTTTCTCTTCTTCTTCTTCTTCGTCTTTTTTTTTTTTTTTTTTTTTTTTTTTTTCCCCCCTCTACTATATATATATATATATATATAAAATTTATTGGGATTATTTTTTATTCTATTTTCCCTTCCAATTTAGTTGTCCAAAAGCTACCAAGTTATATATATATATATATATATATATATATATTTGGATTTTTTTGGATTAAGATCCTAATTAAATTCTAGCTCCATTAAATATTTAATGGAAATAAGACTACTATTAAAAATCCTAATTTTCTATTGACGAATCTAAAGACAAGATATGTAGTTTAAAATCCCTTTTTAAGGACAATTCTACAAGAGATCTATTCTTGCAACTAACATTCCATTGTATTTTTATATTATTTTTTTATTCTTTCTATTTATCTCAAAATTCTTATACTAATTCACTAAAATAGTGACTTAAAGGAGCAAAATTGTCTTTTTTGTATTAAAACAACTAATGAATCAATTGTGTGACTCACATACTCGTTAATAAGATGTGATTACTTTATTATTATAAATTTCATAGATGTTTAATTAATTGTAATGTTTGTATTTATTTCTACTTACTTACTTAGTTGACATGCATTGATTATTGTATTTCTAATCCAAAAATACCATGTAGTGGCAAGTACTAGATAATTTTAGGACTAGATAATAGTTTTGTAAGATTGTCATACATTGTAGCAGTTGGATAATATTAGAAGAAATGTTTGTTGAAAGTTTCAAGTTAGTGGATGAAGTAATGTACTTGATTCACCAACTTGAAACATTACAAACAAATTCTAAGTAAATTTTAATCAAATCTTAATGGAATCCTAATGAAATACTAATGTAATTCTAAATCAAAATTTAATAAAATCCTAATCAAGTCTTAAATCCTAAATAAATCATTAATCAATCCTATAGAAAATTGAAACTTCAATAACTGATAATTATTGTAAAGCCTTTATAAAGTCATTACAAACTTAAGTTATTCAAAACCAATTCCAATTTTTTTTTTTTTTAGTCTTCTCTCAAACTCCACTCTCTAATCAACTAAAAAAACTTAGAATTGCTATAGATGCATAGTTTTGTGCCTTGAATTTTGATTTCAATCTTAGTTAACAACCAATGCTCTTTAAATATCAATTTCATATTATTCTTAATTTCTTCCAAAATATTCTTATATTAATTATTTTTCTTATTTATTTTAATTTATCTCATCTATAGCTATATAAAGTAATTAGAAATTTATTTTATAAAGAGGCAACATTAGGACTTACTAGTTTTATTATCTCCTTGACTATTATGTATATTTTTATGATAATTTATTACAATATTTTAAATTTAGATTTTCTATAATACATTTTTTTTTTTTTTTTTTTTTTTTTCATGTAATAATTTGGTTATAACATAACATCATAATAAGTATTGGTCCAAGATTATGTATATACCAGGCTAAGAGTCTCATGTTGAATAATAAGTTGAATATACAATATGGCCTAGTTCAAAGAACCAACAATATTTGTAAAAAGAAATAATGACATATAATGTTTTGGCCTCAATCGTGATAGAACAATTAGTAATAGAAATTTTAGTACCTATAATGAAGGAAGTTGGCATCAATTAAGCATGATAGAATCATAACTCTACAAACTTCTACTAAAGATAGAGAGTTTATGTAATGCAAAGTCAATCTTGATGTACAATTTGAATAAATTGGAAGCTAAGAAGATGATGGACTTTGCTGAAATTGGATAGCATAAAGTAGTTGTAGAGTTGTGACTTCATGTATTGGATGAGCAAAAGATTATTACAAGCTATCAACATATCATCTATGTTGAGAGTGAAGATTATAAAATTTGATTCTTAATAAAGGTTATATACATTTCTATCTATAGTTGAATGGACAAAACTAAGATAATTTAGAAATAAGTTGATGACTTTGTACCATTCTTAGAGGGATTATTTTAATCCATATAATATTTTGTGTAATTTATAAACCATGTCAAGTTGTGGAAGAGTTACCCCTTTCAAGTTTTATATAAAAATCTCTCTGTAAAAGAGGCTATTAAGAAAGGCAATTTTGACATCTATCTGTAGATATAAAGATCTTGTTGAGCAGAAATAGCAAGTATGAGAGTACTAACTAGATAGAAACAATGAGAGAGAATATCTCATTGAAATCAAGATCAAGTACTTTGTTAAAACCCTAAGCCACAAGACTCTCTTTAAACTAGTTAATTTGGCTAGTTTCTTTGACTTTAAATTTAAAAATCTATTCAAATGTGATTGGATGGCAATTGAAAGATAGTTCAAAAAAATTCCAAGTTTCATTCATTATATAGGAGTTTAATCTTTAAAAATTATTTGGTATCATTGTTTGGCTTTAAGAGAGAAGTGCACTTATTTATAGGTATATAGTTCCAAAAGTCCAGATCAAAGAAAGGATGGGTCATAGTTTTTTATAGGATTTTATGACACAAATACTCTTTTATTCAACCGGTTGGATTCTAAATGTGAAGAATATAGTAAAGAAGTTAAATGTGAAGAATATAGTAAAGAGGTTAAATGTGAAGAATATAGTAAAGAGGTTAAATGTGAAGAATATAGTAAGGAATCAATAATACTAACTTACTTGCAAGAAAGATAATTTTGGTTAACATATTGGCCAAGAGAGAGCATGATTTTTAAGCTAGAAGAAATATTGATGACTCATATTGGAGAGGATGGAAAATTTGGGTGAAGAACACTAGTTTTAGATTGTAATCAAGACAAGAGAGAGAGAGAGAGGCTGCTTAGGAGAATTCCCAATGGTGGCTACTTTTCTTGCTTCCCATCCATTCAAACTTCTTCACTTTGAACTTAGTGGAAGTATCTCCACTCCAACGTTTTTTGGCTTTGAATATTATGATTTCTCCCTGTACATCGTTCTCAGCCTCCTTTGTAAAAAAAAGTGAATGCTTCACCATATTTAATTTAAGATATTCCATGATTGGACTCAAACTACACACAAATTAAAAACCCTTTGTTGTAATGAAGGAAGAGAATATCTCTCTTTCAACTTTGATCAATACCTTGTCACTCATAGTATTCTATAACAATTCACACAATCTCAACAATTCACACAATCTCAACAATTCACACAATCTCAACAACTCACACAATCTCAACAATTCTAACAACAATTCATCAATGTTTTTAAGTAAATTACATATATAAAAGTAGCCACCGTTGGGAATTTGGTGGCACTCTGTTTGCCATGAAGGCAAGTAGAGCAGAAATCCAGTAACCGCACCAGATTGTGTGAGTTGTTGGAGGCGATTGGAGCTGATATGGCCGAGGCAATGGTGCAACAGCTGAGAGCGATGGGCGGGAGTGGTAACATGAGCTTGTGCTTTGATGGTGCCGGAAGAAGAAGTAGCATCGGAAAGAGCAGGTGTGCGTTTCTTCGGTTGTCGACCCAACAACTTGGCAGAACGTGCATGGGCTCACATGGGCAAGCGGAGAACCTGCAGGTGAAGAAGTTGAAGGAGAGATCCTTCATTACCCTCTTCTCCGAGACGTTTTGACCCACGCAGCTCTTGCATTTGCAACGCAATTCTGCAAGCCGTTTTAAATGGTGCCTCCGTCGATTCTCAGAACCTTTCCACAATCTACATTTGCAACAACTGGTGCTAATACACTTCCGTCGCGGCTTGTATATTGCAGACATTGAAGCTGACCAGTCCTATTTTGCGGAGCTTCATGAAGTCTTCGCTGCTCCCGGGCCAATGAGCCCCTAAGGCAGAGGCGTAAATGTGGATCAGCTGCCGCTCCTGATGAAATGATTGACGCAGAGGCACCGGCAAAGAGAATCATCGGAAAGGGCGCGAGGATGGGATGACTTTAAATTAGTTACTAAAGGGGTAATGTGACACGCTTTCAAATTAAACGTTACATTCTTGCCTTGTAAAAACTCAAAAACTTTCTATACAATAAAGAAGTTGATGAACTAGAGTCTGCGTAAGTCAAATGATTTATTCAAGTCAATTTCCAGAGAAAAGCTAATAATAATTACACTCAATGATGCTCTTGAATTATATTTTCCATAATACTCTTGAAGTAGCAGTTTCTACTGTCTAACACATGGAAGTAGCCGCAGCCAAGTGCTGTGTCAAAATTGTTTGTGTATTTACAGAATACTCTCTACTATGAAAATAGCCGGGCCTTCACTCCCCGAATGCGCTCACAAGAGCAATCCAATCCTGATCCACTGCTTCCAGGATGAGCTCACGCGTTGCTTCTTCGCCGCAGGAGCAACCTCGGGCTCCAATTCTTCGGAGAGGCAGGGAAACCGGAGCTCCTTGCGAACGTCGAACTTGCCGTCCAATTCAGTGATGGTGATGCGTTTGTAATCCCAGAGGTCATCTGAAGTCACAATGAGATCGTTCACACTCGGATCTGACCCCATTGAATATTCCATGTACGTATCGTTGCAATCCACCTCCAGGGTGTGCGTTTGGCCCCTTTCAATCCTAGCGACGTCCGCGCAGTACCTACCGTTGGCCACGCGCATGTGCAATGCCTGCTGGGTGGTGTTCACGATTTCAGTCATGGTGGGCGCCATAGTATTTTGGCGACACTTCCAAAAAACCCACACCTCTTCCAAAGTTACAAGCACCGTCAGAGCTGAGCGTGGCAAGAAATCCTAACACTCGTTGCTCACGTAATTCTGGACCGAGGATTGGGACCGGGGTCAGAGCTGAGCGGATAAACTCGGCAGGGAAGCTCAGGTTAATGGACGACACAGCAGCGCTGAAGATCAAGTAACTCAAATAGGAACTCTCCCGCAGGACACCGCCCACAACGATCCAAAGACACAGCGATCGAGAACGC